GAGCTGGTTGTGCTTGGCGAGAGGGGTACATGTTGGGGGTGAATAAGGGGGCGTGGCACTGTCACTGCAGGTGCCATGCTGACGTCGCCGGTTTGGTGAGTCACTTGTCGGTCGGCTGGCTGTGACGGGGGCGTAGGCGGTGCACTGGCTGGCAGGCTGGCGGGCGGTAGGCTGGAAGCGGGTCTGAAGCGAAAATTATGAAATTCAACTTGACAAATGTCACTGACATTAATTAAACGTTGAGATATGGCAACAGCAGTACAAGAGCGCCAGGGTGTCTGTCTGTCAGGCAGGTGGGCCATAAGAATGGAACGCTGCCTTTAAATGATTTAAGCGAGCACTGGAAACTTAACTCCATTGCAATCTTGCATTACACAGATGAAAAATCAATAAGCAACTTGTAATTGAATTGCAATCGCAATTCAATTGAGCTTAATTTGTACGAGAAAATCTCCATTTGGCTCGTAAGGAAATTGCAGAATGAAATGCCAGGCCTTTGCTTTAAGCCAGCGATGCCATAAATTGTGTGCCAGCAACTTTTAAAGCAGCCGGCGTCCATTTCTTTATTTTTTATATTTTCAGTTTTTTGTTCAGCTTTTTCGCACACTTCGCCAACTTCCGCTTCCGGCGGCAAGCAAAGTAATGCAAACACAGCCCACGCTCTACTTTTTCCATCCACCCTCTCCCTCTGTTTTTCTCTCCCTCTCTCTCTCTCTCTCTCTCTGTGTTTCTATGCTTTTTGTTGTTTTCTGGCATAAAAATCATTAAACTGATTTATATTCCGTTTGATTCCCCCGTTTCCCTCGACTACGCGTCATGTGTGCCCGTCGCTCTTTCTTTTTTGATACCCTATTCCCAATCGTGGGGTATTTTGGCTATCAAATTTTACAACATATTAATCTTTATACTCAACTGCTTTTCCTGACGGTCTAACTAACTAGTGATGATTGGCGGGAAATGGGTAGAAAGTTGATAGAAAAAACTTGAACTAGACAAGGATAGGCTGTACTTATAAGATCAATGTGGGAATTGGGTTAATTGGAGACTTAAACGTACATATTTACACCATATTCTTACGGATACTCTCTATATCTGTCTTTTTTTTAGATAATGTGGATTGCGATGAGTTACAGTACAACACCTGCATACAGGCCGATCAAAATATTAAGCAGAAAAGCAGATAAGTATAATAAATATTCTATTAAATATATTATTATTTTTTTTTTTGTACTCTGTACCTATTACGAATGGCTAAAAAGTAAGAGTATATGTTGCAGTTATGCAATCTTATCCGATTTATTAAAATCGATAAATATCGTTTTCCAGCACTTGTTTGCTTAAAACATCTCTGAGATCATAAAAGCTATAGACACAAGATTTTTTATATATATTTTTTTATATATTTAAATATAGTCCAGTTCTAATAATTTAACAAATATAAAACTCGTATTTAGAGTATGTACTACTTAAAGGTTTTTTTCCAATTTAAATTTATTTAAATTCACAAATTAATATGCTCATGTTTATGAGAGATGTTTCATACATGTAGAATATGTATAGGGTATAACAAAGTCAGACATGCTCACATGCTTGTTGCTCTTGTGCCGATGCCTGAACTTGAGTTCAAGTTTGATAAAAGGGTCGCTCGACAGACCATGCCCATGCCCATGCCCAGTGGCAGAAACCCATACGAAATTCGATAATTCAAGTCAATTTCGCATGTGTCGGGGTCGCTCAAGGGTTAAGTGATTTCTTTTGTTTCTGTTTTTCTACTTCTTCGTCTTATTTTTCTTCTTGTTTTATGCTACGCATTTAGTCAACTGTAAAATAAAGTCGCATAAATAAGCAAGGAAAACACATGAAAAATTTAAAGTTTTTCTCACAAATAATTTAAATTTTGAAACTATTGATTTTGTTCAGAGATAAACCTAACGTGCTCTCTCGCTCACTCTCTCCCCCGCCCCTCTCTCTCTCTCTCTTGCCTTCACTTAGGCTGGCAGTGTTGGCTAATGCGCTGCAGGCGTTGACCAATATCATAAAATGTTGACCCAAAATGTTTGCACAGTTGTTGCCCTCGGTTAAGTTGCCTTCTCCTTCCCTCCCCCGCCCAAAAGAAAAACCAGCGCACTTGCCGACCCCGCAACCCCGCAGCCACCCACCATCCGGCCCCTTACCGACCCACCTTCCACCTTGAAAGGGTTGTCGTTACAGAAATTCAATTCAATTTCGTTGAAATGTTTTATTATATGTATGTATATTTTGTTGCTGCTGTTGTTGTCGTTGTTGTTCTGACTGATTTTAATGTAATTGCCGGTAATAGCAAACACTTTTTATAGCCTAACAAGTTGTTGTCGTTGTCGTTGTTGTGGCCTGGTTGTTGCTGCTGTTGCTGTTGTTGTTGTTGTCGGTGTGCCACGCTTAATGTTTGTTTGATCATTTTTCGTATCCCAAATTGAATTCTAATTTAAAATTAATTTTCATGTGCTTGTCGATATAGATATTGATAGTATCACCCCGTTTAAGCTGTAAACTGTAAAATTGTTCAAATTGCAAATGGGCTAAAAATGTTAATCAATGTTACAGAATAAAATTTAGCTTCGAGTTAGGTTTTATTTAGTGTGGCCAGCCAAATTACGGTAACGAAATTTATTTGACCTTAAAGGAAAGGACCTTTAAGGCAAAGCTGTGTGAATTAAAGCTAAGAGTTGTACAGGTAGACAATCATTGACTTATCTAGTCCATAAAGTTGGGTTTCTATTGAAACTAATTTTACATTCAAATTCTTCAGTTTTCTCAATAGCTTTTAAGCAAAACAGCAAATGCTATTAACTCCTTTTAATATAATAAAAATTTAAACGGAAACAAAGGAAACTATGACGCTATTAAGAACATACGCCCTTTCTTTGGATTAAATGTTTATTTCTTATATATAGTTTTTTCGCGTGCGTACATTTGCACCTACAGAATTTTCGCTGGGCACAAGATTGGCTGCCGGTTCAAGGCAAGTTGTTGGTAATGAAGTCTTTGATAATTGTCTTTGATGTGCCTCGAAAAATGTTGGACGCGTAGCGCAAGAGGCCGTCGCAAAGGCACGAATCTATGTTTTACGGAAACGACAGCGTTTTGTTATATTCTTCGAAGAACTTACAGCCTTTCACCGTTATTTCTTATCAATTTGATTATAATTGAAAACATCTAACATACTACATCTACTTCATTGATGGTTGTCGTTAGGATTCCAGAAAATACGCGAAAACATGTGCTGCGACAAGTTTTGACAATTTTATCAATGAAAAGTGCAATCAATAGACTTTATACTACAACTGAATAATTGTCGAATAATTAGAAATTCTATTAGGCATATACATATTTCGATATCAATCGGCCTATTGTGCTGTGAGGAAGTGGATTACGATAATCGTAGAATCATGTTTCAAAAAACTAATTACTTAGAGGTTTGAAATGAGATTCGAATTCGTTTGGAACACTTAGACTTATACAAATCTGTAAAACACACTTTCCTTATTTATACTAGCGGGTTAACCCGCCCGTAGAACGTATTACCTTTCCACTAAGCCAGCATCTGCCATCTAAGAATGTATCAAATAAATTCTCACAAATATCTTTGAAAATGATTCTGAAGCCGATCGGATGGTAAGCAAAAAATGTTCATACAACCGTTTTTCACAAATTAATCTTTGATTCGCATTTTCCACCTTGAAAGCTTGGATTCTGCGAAAAGTGTGAAACACGTCTTAAATGATTTTTCGTATAGATCTTTGAAAATAAATTTGAACACGAAACATCGCCCACCAAATCTTTGACCCCCATTTCCTGCAAGAAGGGATGTGTTTTGCGTAACACCCCTCAAATTAATTTTGACAATCGGATGGTAAACTAATAAGTTTCATACAAACGTTTTTCGCGATTTTTCCACAAATGCGGATGGAATTTCCCGAAACCCCGCACCTTCATCACATAAGGTAACTACAGTGAACATTTTTTCCTAGCTCTTACAGTTTGGGCTGTGCGTTGATCACCAATCAGTCAGTCTGTCAGTCAGTCAAGCAGTCAGGACAATCTTTTTTATATATAGAGATAAATGAGCGAAATGTGCGAAGCACGCCTTCAATTTCACTATATCCGCAGTCAGTCAGTCAGTTGGCCAGCTAGTCAGTCAGTCAATCAGTATTGTATACCTCGTTCCGTTGTAGGTGTAGAGATTTAAAAAATGTAATCACAAATGCCAATAGTACTATACTTCCGAACACAATTCAATTCAAATTACTGCGATGCTTAGTTGTTCTCATCTTTGTGTTTCGGTATGCTGTGTGTGCGTGTGTGTGGCAAGCATCTAATTAATTAAACAATTGTAAATTCCTTTGATAAATTAACGTCACCAAGCACTGACCACACAGGGCAAGAGTCAGTGAGAGAGAGAGAGAGAGAGAGAGAGAGAGAGAGATGTGCACACAGAGGGAAGCATGGTCCAGTAGGGTGGAGAATTCAGGGGGCCTGCACACTGTTGCTGGTTATTGCAATATTTATGCAAATGTTGACCTGACAATGTGTCCAATTCCATACAGGATGGCACTGTTTTGGCATTTAGTGACTCAATTGATGTTAATTTGTGTTTGGGGCTTGGAAGGAAGGAAGAAGTGTTCCGTTTGTGAAATTTCCGAGTGCGAACAATTAAATAAATTAAAAAAGGAGAAGTCAGCGCTCATCAGCAGCAGCAAGTAATTTTGATAAGATATGCCAATGGGCAAGACATCAAAAACAAAAAATACTTTCCGCACAGCATCTCGAACAGCAGTTAATATCAAGGTAACAACGGCTGGCAGCACCGTATCTGACATCTATCTAATAAACATGTCGATAAAGCACAAAACAATACTAATGTACTTCAGATGCCTATCGGCAACTGGCGCTACCATATAAAAGCGACTGCCCCCGACGATATTGTCATTTTAGTAAAGCACTCTTTGTGCCAAGTCTTCTGGTAGCCCAAGCAATCACAACAGGAATAGCTGTCACCGCTCTCAACTCCTTGAAGATGAGAGCTCATTACGGTATAAAACGGCAGACGGTTTTACCAGAAGGAGGGACTAACCGACATATATCCCTTTAACCCCTTTCTAGTCCTTGCCTGCCTGGCTTTACTGGTGGCCACCACTGGTGCCGCCAACATAAGGCCCTCAGTGACAGCCGTGAATAACCAGCTGTACCGCCGCTTTGTTTGCGTGAACAAGTCTAATGGATTCCGTGCTCTGGTGCCTGGTAGCTGCTCCAAATACTACGAGTGCCAGAATGGCGTCGCCATGGAGACCACTTGCTCGCGTTTCTTTGATCCTAAGGTGCAGGGATGTGTCACCTATAACACTGGATGCGTTGAGGTGATGCAAACATCAGCTACAGCATTGATTGGTGGTAATTCCGGCACTGTTGCAGAACCATGTGCAGAAACGGTAACCACTACATGTGTCCCACCCGTGACTACCACCTGCGAAACGACCACCCCCTGTAAGCCAGAGACGGCAACTACCACATGTACGACACCGACAACTACCACATGTACAACGCCAACAACCACTACTTGTACGACACCTACCACAACTACATGTACAACACCAACAACAACAACATGTACAACACCAACAACAACCACTTGCACAACACCAACAACAACCACTTGTTCAACAGTGACCACAACCACCTGCACAACACCAACAACAACCACCTGCACAACCCCAACAACAACCAAGACCACAACACCAACAACAACCAAGACCACGACACCAACAACAACCACGTGCACGACACCAACAACCACCACATGTACAACACCAACAACAACTACATGTACAACGCCAACAACAACCACCTGCACAACCCCAACAACAACCAAGACCACAACACCAACAACAACCAAGACCACGACACCAACAACAACCACGTGCACGACACCAACAACCACCACATGTACAACACCAACAACAACCACCTGCACAACACCTACAACAACCAAGACCACAACACCTACAACAACCAAGACCACGACACCTACAACAACCACCTGCACAACACCAACAACAACCACTTGCACAACACCGACAACAACCACTTGTACAACACCAACAACAACCACTTGTTCAACAGTGACCACAACCACCTGCACAACACCAACAACAACCACCTGCACAACCCCAACAACAACCAAAACCACAACACCAACAACAACCAAGACCACGACACCAACAACAACCACGTGCACGACACCAACAACCACCACATGTACAACACCAACAACAACTACTTGTTCGACAGTGACAACAACCACCTGCACAACACCAACAACAACCACCTGCACAACACCAACAACAACTACTTGTTCGACAGTGACAACAACCACTTGCACAACACCAACAACAACCACCTGCACATCACCAACAACAACCACTTGTTCAACAGTGACCACAACCACTTGCACAACACCAACAACAACCACCTGCACATCACCAACAACAACCACTTGTTCAACAGTGACCACAACCACCTGCACATCACCAACAACAACTACTTGTTCGTCAGTGACAACAACCACCTGCACAACAACCACATGCGTTGTACCAGTAACAACACCGTGCACACAACAAACATCGGGCAGTAAGGTAAGACCCTCGTCTGTTCATGTGAGACCCGCCGCGAGACCGTTCCACAGCCCTCTGTCCGAGACACAACAGCAGCCAATGGAGATGGCTTCGGCAACGAATGAATTGAGCATGAACCTTTACACCAGCTACGTGTGCCGCAACAAGCCCGACGGCTTCATGCTGGCCTCCCTAACGAGCTGCAACAACTATTACATCTGTCGCTACGGCAAGCCCCTGCAAGTTAGCTGCGGCAAGAAGTACTTCAACGCGCTGAAGGGCATCTGCGATCTGCCCGAGAACACACGCTGCGTACAGCCGCAGGCTTGAGCGAGTCGCTCACCCGTTGACGGTACTCCCAATGCATAGGAATGACTAACTGCACCATCTTTATTAATATAATTAACTACCATATAAAAGAGTTGTATCTACTGATTTAAATATCACAGAAATGCAAATGCTAATACAGGCCATAAAAATGCAAAATGCTTGGGTTTAAGTTCATCCGATCTTGCTCTTTCGAAAATATCGAAGGTTACAAACAAATTACAAATCAGATGCAGATGTACCAATTGGGTCTTCAGTTTGAAAATGTCTACCTTTTTTATTAAACTCTTTTTGCCAAAATTCTGTACGAGTCCAGTGTGTTCGATCCTTAGATAACTCCACAACTTTTATATGTTAATCAACACAATTTTACCTAGATAACCCCACAAGTGTCTTGAAGATTCCCTAGCGTTATGGTCGAGCTAGAGGTTTTTCTAAAACAGATAAATAATTTGTAGCTTAACTTAACCGAATTTCACAAAAACAGAAAAGGATTTACTCAATTTATGATAAATTGGAGTTCTGTTTTGGCGATGCAACATTCTTGGATCCTATATTTTCTTCAGAGTGAAAATCATATTGACTACTGGGGACTAACTAATACAGAACTAAGTCGCTCGAGCACAAAGCGGACCAAAAAAATGGGCGCTCAGAAAATAGAGTACGTCATGTCTTGAGCTATTAACAGCAAAAGTGCATGTGCGTTATGCATAAGTAGATAATGCCCTAGCACGCATATACACATTTTGACGTACATATTTGGCGATTCTCTCGGCGTTCATATGTTTGGATGTGTGTTTTCGTGAGTGATATCTGCTTATGCTTGTGTGTGGTTGCTTATGCTTTATCTTTTTATGGCGCTCACAAGAACTTTTACTGCTGCTTATCGCTCTAAAGAAGAATTTATCTTGTGATCATTTGCTTGCGCTAATTTCTGTGTGCCAAGAAACAATTGTTTATGTATGAATTTATAGGCAAAGCGAAAATAAAAATATGTATATATGTATCTATGTATATAAGTAATGGTTGTTGGGCACAAAACCCGTAGTTATGTTTGTTCGTTGATTAGAGATAACACCCTACGTTTACTTGAATATCGTCATATTTAAAGGCAAGCTTCATTTTAATTAAGCTACATTTTTATTTAAACACATTACTTAGAAGGCAAATCTTAAACAAAGTAAATACAATAGATTTATATACATACATACATATGTAACTTTTCAGACTCCTAGATAAGATAAGAGGCTTCTAATAATTTATCTAATTTAATTACATATATGAAATCTATATGATAGGGATTAATTTACTTGAGTTTGTTAGAATTTAAAACCCTTCATATTTAACATACATATATAAGACATATTATTATATTCTCACACAATCAGCAATAGACAAATTACGAGTGTGCAGAATATTATCTGCATGAATATCACGTCATATTGTCTACTGGGGTCAGACTCGCAGAAATTAGAATTGGAGTGCCTTGAGCAGACGAAAAAACCGGCGCACAGCAAAAAAGCAAACGATCGAAATTCGAATGAGAGCGTATGCGCGGAGAAGCGCCAAGGCCGGAGATAATAACCAACGCAAGCACCTGCTTATGTGTGTGTTTGCTTGTAAGTTATCTACTTATACTCATGCCATCACAACTTTTTTGGTGCTGATCGCTCATTGGTCCAACTAATTTTGCTTGTGTAAAGTGGTTGTTTGGCTGCTCTTTTTTCCGATCGTCAGTTCTTCGGTCCGCTTTGGATATGCGCAACTTTGTTTTGTGCTAGTTTTTTTTGCGAGTTTAAACCTTTCACAACATTTTATGTTAGGGATTTACCAAGCAATACCGTCCGATTTTCGAATGATATACCGTTTTCCGATAATTTTATAGACATAAACTTTTCAAAGGGTATACATACATACATTTGCAAGATAAAGCTTTTAAATATAACACATTCAATTTTACACAACCAGCAATAAACAATTGCGGTGTGCCGAATCTTCAGCTCGTTTGAATGTGTAAGTCATATTGACTCCTGGGATCAAACTAACACCGAACTACTTTGAGAGCATGCGAAGTAGACAAAAAAAAAACGGCGACCACACAAAGTCGTCTTTGCAGCAATAAGCCACAACAAAAATCCGTGTGAGCGCGATGCATAAGTAAAATATGTAGATAATGCCCTAACAAGCAAATGCAATTGTGTACGTACATAAATCTTTGGCGATTCTCTCTGCATACATACATATGTTTGGGTGTGTGTATACTAGAATGGTATCTACTTATGCTTGTGTGTGGTTTCTTTTGCGTTATCTAGCTTTGAATCCCGCTAACTGAATGAAGAATTTATCTTGTGATCATCTGCCTGTTCTAATTTCTGTGCGCCGAGAAACCATTGTGCATATATGTATGTATGTATTAGCCTATTCGAAAAATATATACATATGTATGTATATACATATGTATATATATACATATGTATGTATATACATATGTATGTATATACATACATATGTATGTACAATGTGTATGCGCAAAGGTGCATGGGTACAAAAGCTGTAACTCTCCTTTTCTTTTGGCAACTCTGCACAACTGTCACACATACTGATAATTAGAGATGAAACTCTACCGTACTTGACTTCGTGGCGCTGCTGCTATCGTAATTATTAAAGCCAAGCAATGTTTTAATTTAACTACCTTTTAAATTCAAACTCATTAAATAATAAAAATATTATAAATAATAAATAATAAGAAAGAGAGGGTCTTACAATACATTTTTTATTTCAATGTTTCTATAGACCCCGTCCTTTTCACGATCGGGATTTTTTTACCGGAGCTATGGGAATTTTAAATTATTACAAACCTGTATATTTAACATATGTACACTATATTCTCGTACAACCAGCAATTAAAAAATTGTGGCTGTGCACAATTCTCAGCATGCAATAATGTGCAATTGACTACTGGGGTCAAGGAAACTCAGAAATAAAGAGAGACCATAAAATCGGCGCACAGAAAATAGAGCTAGTCTTGTCTAGAGCAGCAAATTAAATAGATAATGCACTAGAAGGAATTTACACATGCATATGTACATATTTGGTGATTATCTCTGTATGTTTGAGTGTATGCTTACTGGAGTGATATCTTCTTATGCTTGTGTGTCGTTGTCATGCGTTATCTACCTTTGAATGGCGCTCAGTCGAGTTAATGGTTTGCTTGCTCATTATACTGTGCGCTGATTTTTGTCCACTTTGCGTCTGCGCAACTAAATTCTGTTTTAGTTGAACGCCAGCAGCCGAGTAAAGCTGTATACAAATATTAGAAGTGAAATTACTCGGGTAAATATCATCAAAATTTACAATCATCAAGTTCCAGAATCGGACTTAATTTTACGTATAGGGAGTCATTCAAAGTTAATAAGAAAATAATTAATATATCATTTAATAATAAAACTCGTGAATAGAAAATGAACAAGCATGCATACACATACATTTGTGCATATTGGCTATTCCCTTCCACGCACTTATCTTGTGATCGTTCGCTTTCTTGCTCACAAAAATTGGGGAGAGCACAACGCATATGTATGTAGATAATGCACAAGAACGCATATACATATACATACATATGTATGTATGTACATTTTTGACGATTCCCTCTGCATGTTGTCTATTTATGTATGTGTGTGATTGCCTGTTCGTTATCTAGCTTTGAATTACGCTCAGAATTTATGGCTTGCATGCTCAATTTGCTCTGCGTTGGTCTTTCGTCTACTCTGGTTGCGCACAAAATTTGCCTGCTTTAGTTAAACGCCAGCAGCCGAGTTTGGCTTGCACAATATACTGTGCGTTGATTTTTGTCCAATTTGCGTCTGCGCCACTAAATTCTGTTTCAGTTTAACGCCAGCAGTCGAGTAAAGCTGTATAAAAATATTAAAAGTTAAATTTCTCGGGTAATTATCTGGACAATCTGGGTTGGTACAGAAATCAAAATGTAAAGTGTTCTGTGCATTTTAAAGACATTTAAATTATCAAGAAGTATAAAAAATCGAACTTAATTTTACGTATGCGGAGCCATTCAAATTTAATCAGAAAATAATTAATATATCATTTAATAATAAAACTCGTGAGTAGAAAATGAACAAGCATGCATATTTACACACATACCTTTGTAAATATTGGCTATTCCCTTGCATGTACTTTTCTTGTGATCGTTCGCTTTGTGCCTGCACAAGAAAAATTCTTGCTCACAAAAATTCAGGAGAGCGCAACGCGTATGTGTAGATAATGCCACTAACCAAATAACATATAGACCGGACAAACCCTACTTTTGATGGTGACATTCGATATTTCTGCGGCTGGTCCAAACTCGCCTTCGTTTTTGTTCGGGTTCGAGACATGCTCGCATGCTCTCAGAAGCAAGAGAGTAAGAATACATATGGCCTGTGTCGGGGAACGGCAACGCTGTCTTTTTACTCGCTCACTCTACAAGAAACTGCTGTGGCTTACTCTCATCCATATGATTTGTGCGATAGAACGGCATCGCTGTTTTTTATCTCGCTCCCACTACAAGAAACTGCTTTGGCTTACTCTCAATGCTCTTTCAATTTGTCTATGTACCGTTTAAATGTTTGTGTGTGTATGTGTCCGCACAAGCAAAAATGCCCACAAATTCAATTTTTCTCAAAAGTCGGTGGCATATCTTCCCTTTTGAGGGGACGAGTAATATAAAATAATGAAAGGGTTTGCCCCGTCGATGCGAAATTCTTTCATTTTAGCTCGTTCTTCTTCGAAAGGGTACCTAAGCGTTGGCATGTGTGCATTTAAAAGTTTTTGGACTTGCTATTCACGCATACTTGCGTATTTTGTATATGAATAGAAGCATTTATGCGCTTGTGTGCCTGTTGGTCCCTGCCTGCCTGTCCGATGCAAATTTGGCAATATTTTTGGACTTCTGAATTTCGAGCTCTGCGCACACACACACAGAGACACAAATGTGTGTGAATGGGCTGATCATGGGCGCAAAATTTAAAAATATCATTATCACGCGTCTGACGCGCGCCCTTCTTTTTATGATTTAGGGCTTGAATTGATGAATGAATGTTGACCCCTTATTACCTGCAGATCCAATTCATATATGAAAAAGC